GGTTTCTGTTCTGTTTTTAGTAATTCTTTAACTATGGATAGCCGCTGGGGTTCCTGTTTTATTTTTACCTGTTCTGTTTTTATCTTTTGTTGCTTTTGCAATGTTTGTTCTGTTTTTAATAGTAGTAACTTCTGACCTATAGATTCTTCTGTATGTTTTCCTTCTGTGTGTAACTTTTCTAATAATGTCTGAATTGGAGGCACTATCTTAAGTTTTGTTTTCTCCTGTTTAATTGTAGTTTCTAATGCTTGTCTTGATTTGTATTTATTTCTACGACTTTTAGATTTATTATTTTCAATATCTATGTTGAAAAATTGAACACGTTTCTTCTTTTCCAATTGATTACTTTTATTCTCTATTTTAAGATTACTTGAAGATTCATCTCTGTAACATGTAGGTTATTGCTATACCATCAATACTGTTATGCAATATGAGTTTTGTATAGTTTACCAATATTAGGTACATACATTGATTCTTTAAGATTCATTTTCTGTTCAATATTAGAAAAAGTAAATAAAGATGAAAGTATTTTTTCTCTATCTCCTCCAACTGCTTTACTCAATGCTTCAGCTATTTGCATTATATCTTTCTCTATAATAAAAAATTATTAAGTTTAAAATACGATTCTTATAACCAACAATCATTGATTATTACAAAAACATCATTAGATAAATTCAATATTATTTTTCTTAATTTAAAGATGAATTATATACTTACCCTGTTGTTTTTTTTCATTGTTCTTTTTATTTACTTTGATGTCTGCAGTATTTGGAGGAGTTTTCTTTAAAAATAATATGCATAGAATTAATATATGTCTTTAAAGAATTAATTAGTGCATTAAAAGAAATAGAACATTTACATTGAATAAATTATCTATGAAATTATACAGATCTGTAACTTCATTGGTGTTTGTTTGATTCTTATCATCAATCACTCCTTTTACTTGTTTTTGGTTTTTGTTATTCGATTCACTATCAGAATCAGATGAATCTGATGAATCCGATGTACCCGATGAAGATAAATTAGAACTTAATCTAATTGTATTATATACAAAATTACTTATCCATTTACTTGGTGTTATAATTTTAACTTTAATACTAAAAAGTCGTTGATATTAGTTTCATGATAAATAAAAATATTAAAATAGGTTAGTAAAATTTGACGCTGTTTGTATCAGTACTTACTTTGAAAAATTATGTATGGCTAACATCATAAACAAATTCTTTTTATTATTAGTTACTGTTATTATTATTATTATTATTATTATTATTATTATTTGTAACAACGATGTAATATAGATGTGTAAATACTGTATATCATAATACAGAGTTGTACTCGCACATTGACCGAATCACGGTTTATTTAAAAGATATTAAATATTTTTTAACTTAATATGATAAATTTAATTCTGATACCTTCATGACAATATTTGCTTTCAATTAATTAATTATGGTATGATTCGTATTTACAAAAGAATACACATGGAAAACATTTTAAATTTGATTCCCCAACTAAATATTACAACTTAGCAACTTACTTGAAGTTAGCAGTACATGATAATTTTAGAGTCTCGAATTATTCAATTCAAAATAACAAACACATATGCACAACCATCTGTAAATAAACTTATTTTTCAGAATAAAAATCAAAAGAAAATGAAATCTATAGATAGTAGAAAATAAAACGTTATGTCCTCTAATACACAACGTATTTGAATTGTTTATTTAAAAAATGCTTTATTTTACAGATCTATAGTGTTCCAAGCTAATTTATTGCATATACATAACAATGTAATATATCTCTCATTCTTTCCCTTACTTTATCAGGCAGAACACATTATTCGAAGTGTTCGCGAAATTATACGCCTGCTAATGGGATCCAATAACTCGAAACTGTGAATTTAAGATACAATTATAATTTATAAAGTTTCATTTACAAGGCTTATAGTATAATCTTTAATATTAAAATAAACTTACATAATAATGCTATCTCAAAATTTTAATCGGGTTATGACGAACTCCAACACCTCGCCAATTACGTAATTAAGAACTTACAAGGTAGATTAAATTCAAGTTTTAAACGTAATCAGTAAAATTTTTCATTTATGCGTTATTTTACAGCAAACAAATTAAAATCTGACAAGCTGGTTACACCTCACGTTCTTGTTCTTGCCAGATAAAAAATTTGAAAGAAAAAAAAAATAAAAAGGATTGATTTACGGATCAATTGGTATCATAATAATACATACACGCCAGCAAAGAACTTAAGTAAGCTGTATGCGTAATTACAAAGCGCGTTTCTTATAGTATTAGTTTCCTGCGCGATTAATTAACAATTTACGCTTAAAATCTAACGTATTACTGCTACTAGGGGGAAAATAAGTCAATTTAATGAAAGGTACAGCAATAAATTACGTAAATGAATAAATATATATCAAAATATATGGTCAATATGAAACAGGTCCATTCATACTGCGATAGAAAGAATTCCCTTCGTTGGACACGTATAACTTTGGCTTTCTTTGTATGCCAGGATAATAAAAAATGTCAAATATTTGTAGAAGACATCAATCAAGACGAAGATAAATCAAGCATTATGTTTGGATCTTCTAATGCTGGTAATGGTAGTTCATTCTTCTCTTCTTCAACTCTGGCATCCGACATCTTTAGGAACTTAATCACCTTTTCAGTAGCAGCGATTCCGCAACTACTTACTTCATTCTGCGTAAAAGAGAAAATTATATTTGTACCCGAAGAAATTCGATTTGATTATAAAAATAGAAATTAATTAAAAATATTTTCAATAGTTACCGATGCCGTTAGATTCATGAAATTGAAAAATTTCTGAAGTACAGACACCATAGCAGTAAAATTATTATCTGGAAGTCTACTGCGTACCAACGATTCATAATCCTAAAAATAAACATTTTAATGCACCGTGGGTACAATAAATTTGTTGTTTCTTTTGAAATTTGCATACCTTATTATCCATTATTAAGTAACCAAGTAAGAGTACTACATACGCTCCTATTAAAGTATGTTCCATATGACGTCCTGCCTTTTGTAATACTGGAAAATAAAAAAATATATTTCATAGATTTCTATCTTAACAATAATTTTACAATACCGTACAGCAAAGTTATACAAACATTTTGTAACAGTTTCTTCAATAAATTCTTCTTGAGATTTAGTTGTAGTCGATACGGTCTCTGTTTGTTCAGAATCTTTTTTCCCGTCTAAAATAGCATCTGTCTTCTGTTCTTCAGCACGAGCTAATTCCTCTTGTTTGTAAAAAAGATCGATTAAAGATTCCACTCCACTTTCTTCAGATGCTGCACAAAGAAAATTAATTGTAATAAATTTTTATCAGTAGAAAAATATAATAAATTATGTAATGCATTTACCGTCAAAAATATTTTCTGGTGATGGAGGAGCTTTAGAATCGATAAGAAGTTGTTTATTATCATCACACTGTTCCACTAAATTTATTAATAAAATCAAAGCCAACATCATCATGTCGAAACGTTTTTCCTCGGGAAGTGACTCCGGAACACGTAACAAGAGATATAGACTGCAATCCAAAACACCTGTTTGCGATCCTACCGATTTACTTCCAAAAGCTAAAACATTGAAAGAAAAACATTATAAAATAACATTTATCGTACAAAAATTACTAAGAATATAATAAATTCTTACATTGTCTATTAAATCGATGTGTAAGATTAATGAGAACCTTAATAATAGCGAACAGACACTCTCTAATAACAGCACCAGTAGAAGTCTTATCACTCGGATCTATGGTTGGATAAATAGGAATTTCTTGTCCACAAAGATGGTACAAATTTGCTAATGTGTTGACTAAAACTCCGTTCTCGTATTTCAATAAATATACTTGATTTTCCTCATTCATGTGAGTAACCTAAATAAACATGATACGTTAAAACATAATAGTTTTTAACATAAATCAGTTTGCATTGTAACAAATGTAGAATTTTCACTTACATTTTCTAATACACGTAGACATCTATCAACTTTACGTAATTTATCTAATAAAGGATCTGACCAACCAGACCTTGTAATATCCTGAGCATTAATATGACGGTGACAATCCCTGATTGTTTTAACAATGTGTTCTAATCCTCCCAATTCTCTAAGTTCTTCTTTAAACCATTCACCAGCACGTTTTGATGTAAGACTAAGAAGTGTCTCCATAGCAAGTTGGCCAACCTAATGTATGAAAATTGTTACTTTACATCTTTATTCATTGTTTTATATTATAAACTCTGAACAAAACACTTACAGTTATGTTATCAAGATTTAGATGTTTCGCATGTCCTTGAGCTTGAATGTCAGCGCACAATTGACGCACTTTTTCTTTATTTTTTAACAATTCAGCCCGACTAAGGCCACAATCATCAAGTGCATCTTTGTGACTGGCATCAGATTCTAACAAACTTAACATTAATTCCAAGCAATCACGATCTAAGTCCATAGCTAAACGGTCTTGACTTAGTACAAACATTACTGTTGCTGTACATAAAGCAAGGCTCTGAAAAATATATATATATATATAATAATGCCCTCTAAACCTTATTTTTATCTTATATTTATAATATCATGTATTTTACAAAAATAAATTTATATACCTGATCTTTAGTTGCATCATGAAGTGCTTTGAAAAACTTAGCAACAGTTCCATGAGCACGTACATGCATTCGAAATGCAGGTGCCATACACTTGCTTGCTAATCGTATGGCTGAAAGACAACGAGTAGCATTTGGATTGTTCTCTCTTAAAGTGTCTAATATATATTCAACATCATCATTAAACTCTTGAAACTCTCCACTTTCTTGAATTTGATGAGCTTTTTTCACATTCTTTACTACAGTGTAGAACTGCAAAAGAAATATTACATTAGTATTTTATTTTATTATTAACATTATCACATAATTTAAAAATTTCTCATCTAATATACATACACCCTTAACTTTTTTGCCACAACGCACACTAGTTATAGCATCAGATTCATCTTCAAAACCTGCAACAGCTTCAGGATATGTTACAACTCTTGTAAGCTGTGAAGGATCAAATTCTTCTTCGTATGCTACAGGCCCTGTACTACTATGGGATCCTGAAGCAGTAGTTGGTGTATTATTTCCAACAGTAACAGTATCCGTACTATTAGATTCTTTGTCACTATCACACCATTTATGTTTGTACAGAGCTCTTCTTTTATTTCCATTCGTTGCACCTGTTGAACGACTCTTAAAAATACTACCCTTTTTGGTAGCAGGTTTTTGAACAGAAGTTGCAGATGGAGTATTTTGTGGTTGAGACTCTGTAACTGTACTTGTTACATGTAATGCCACATCACTTTCTGCATTACCACTTACACCTTCACTATCATCACTTCCAGAAAACCAATCTTGATCGACTAAGGCTTTAGCTGTGGCTGTGTCGTTATCACTAGTTCGAGGTGGTTGTTCATTTTCTGTCTCGTGATCAGGTTCTGGTTCTGGCTCCATTTCTGGTTCTGGTTCAGGCTCCAACTCTTGTTCTGGTTCTGGTTCCGGTTCTGGTTCTGGTTCTGGAGCAATAACTGTTTCAGATTGTAAAGTAGATTCAGACTGTGAAGTAGGTTCAGATATTACTTCATTTGTTGGAATATCTATAGAACAATGTTGAACTTCATCTGGAACAACTCCAGCAGTTTCTTCAGTTTCTGGTGCATTTATTATTATTGGTCTTGTTTGCATAGGATCAGAATCACTTGATAATATATCAATCAGTTCTTGAGTTGTAGTTGGCAGTGGTTGATCACGCCCAATTAATGGTTCAATTGCTGGTTTACAGGCATATGTTGAACCACAATCAGTCTTAACAATATCATAATGTGATATTAAGGTGTTATTGGAATCAGTAACAGATTTTCTAAGGGTTAAAGAAAGACCAGAACTATGCGAATTAGGAGTTACTGGTGTTGCAGATACAACAGAAGATGTTAAATCTAAATGCAAATTTTTTGCTCGACTACGAGTAGTTCTTCTCATTTCCGAATTTTCTAAGGGTATTGAAACTGTAGAGATAATAGGTTGATGGGAACGAACTGTTTTATGATCAGTTTTAAGTGCATCTGTATTAGTATTCTTACGTTCGATATCTACTTTTGTGGGACTCATAAGTGGTGTTGAAATTCTGTATGTTTCAGGTTCAGCATCTTGAGTAGCTTGAACACTTCCACACACTAACCGTGCTGTACCTTTACATATTCTTAATACAATAGGAGGTTTTCCTTCTTCTCTACTAGGTGTCATATCATTATTGGTTCCTTCTATAGTCTCTGGTATTTTTTTAGCTGGAGCATTTGACACTTTTGTTAAAGATTGTTTTGGTGGTGGCTGTGGAGTAGTTTTCTGAGGACGAGCTCGTCCATAATGTGAATCAGGTACTTGTTTGTATATTGCCACATCCTGGCGAGATTCTTCTATCGCAGGTGGAACATTTCTACTCTTAAAAAACTTCTTAGGTTTAACAACCGGTGGTGCAACATCAGGCTTATTGTCTGGATCAGTTTCAAATGAAAATGGATCTTTCCCAGAATTAACACGAGAATTCTGATTTCCATAATCAAGTTTTATTCTTTTTGCACCGAATGTATTATGAATATCATCTCTCCTTCCTACAATTAAAGAAATATTCTTATTACTAAAAGCTATTCTAAGATTATTGCTTCTTGATTAACTATAAGTTAGTTTTTAATTAAATAACAATTGCTCTATTTGGATCAATTTTCTAAGAGAAACATACTTGAGATATAATGTAGTAAATGATAGAAGTGTATATTTCATTAATTACGCATTAATATTTTCACTAACTTAATATTAAATGTTTAAACAAAACTTGTTAACAAATTGTTATGCATATATATATTATGCATACATATATATATTGAATGCATAGATATATATATATATATATATATATATGCATTCATAAAATACGATATAACAATATATGAGACATTCATTAAAAACAAGGGCATACCATTGATATTTGTGCTTCTGATAGACGTGAAAGATGTTATACCCCATTTTCCAACAGTGCCTGCTGATTTAGCGGCAGAAGGTCGATTGCTATTTTCTCTAAAAAGCTTATCGAATTGAATACTCCCAGGCGTCACACTGCTGACCTTACGACTGTAAGATTTTGTGTAACTACGGGACGTCATGTTGTATTCGTCAATACTTCAGAAACGTTCCACATCTCAATAGACACAAGTAAGAATATCCATCTTCACATTCCAAAACTCATTAGGAGTATATGGTAAGTAACCATTGACTGTTCGCACGCTTGCGATTAAATATTAAAGGAGAAGAGGAAGCTTCAATGCATCGGAACCTATTCTCCGTGATGAATTGAAAATCCGTAAGAAAAAAATCAAAAGGTAGTATCTTCGGAACATATGAAAGAAACAAACGCCATGTTTCATTTGCTATTTACCCCGATGCACAAATTTACGAAAGTATAACTCTCAAATTTGATTCATATTCGGAAACATTGTCCTTATACTCATTACTTTCGATCTCGTGCTCGCACTTATTCCTTAAGTATTATGATTTTTATATATCTGCATGAGTATAACTAAAAATATTAGTCATAACATGATCTTGAGCCATCTGTCGATGTTTTTCGTTTCAAGATTTAGATACATACCATACACAAAAAACGAGCAATACAATACACAAGATTGTAATACTTGTCGTCCTCCCCAGTAGGTAGAGCCAAGAAGCAAAGTTTTCTACCTTTCATCTATCTACCTTACCGGTAGACAATCGTCCAATCAAAATTTATTTTATATAACAAATAAATTATTTATCTTCCTGTTTAAATTTTCGATTTTTAAATCTATAGTCTCTATAAACGTTTAATAGTTCATATCTGAGAATAAAAATGCTTCTAACGTATATTCTGCACAGTTCTCTTCACTTCATTGAGTGTTTATTCTGTTCAAAACGTTTAATTTTTTTTCAAAAAAATATGTTTCTTTCAATTAATTTTTATATGATTTAATAAAATAAAGTATTTATACGCTTAAGTATATATGTATAGAATATGAGTAATTCTCAGTGCTTACAAATTAATTGCAATATTATTTTGAAAAATATTTTATACTGAAGTAAAATTAATGTTTAATCTTATATAAATTATTGTAATAATATTTACTACAGAAATATAGATATTTACAAAAAAAAGAAATGTTATCCCTAATTTACCAAATGCGATTGTCAAGTAACCAATAGAAATCGTATCTATCATGCATACTATATATATGGTGGTATCTGTCAAATAATATATACGCAAATGTCAAAGTTTATACACACTTTATAATATTCAATACTTAAAAAAATATGTATAATTTTGCAGTCAATTGTGTTATTTCTGTACATATCATATAAGATGAACAACTCTTTATTGTAATTAAAGTTAGAGGGACACATATGAGATTTTAGTTTCTCTTTATTAGTTCTTAATTATAGGGCGTCGAAAGCGTGTAATAATCTATGAATTTAGGCGTATTTAATAGAGTTAATCTTAAGGTAATTTCTGATTATGTAGTATTTTATAATCATGTGATATTATTACATATTATAGCCTATATATTTTACTATTAGGACTCCCAAGGAGGAATGTATTCCGAATGGGCTTCTCTAAGTATTTTAGTTCAACAAGGTTCAGAAGAAAGTCAAAGTGTTCTCGAAAAATTCTCTCCTGGAGCAGGAAAAGAAGTTGCCTTGTCTATTGTACGTCAACTAGCAGCGAATCTTGGTATAACACAAGCAGCTGAGCCTAGTCCATTATGCACGGATAAAGAAGTGCAATGGTGTATGGAAGTAATATGTTTTGGGTTGTCCTTACCTTTGGCTGAACATGATACTGTCAGAGACTGTGTTAATGTTTATTGCGAATGGTTGTCAGCATTATATTCTACACCAAAGATTTGTGTACCTGCACCAATTATAGATGATCCTAATTTCTATGCCAGGAAAATTATAAGTCATTTCCATAATTTATTCGTTCCACGAAAAGGAGAAGGTAAAATTAATAATATTTTGGTTTTTTTTCTTTTGTATGCACATAAAATAAAGTAATATATATATATAGTAATTCAAGAATTATTAGTGCTAGTGAGATTCTCGGTTAGAAAATGATACGTATAATATTTATTACATTACAAAGATTTATAGCTAACGGTTCAAACTTATTTCTTTCTTTCATAGTCTGGCCATTTTTGTATCAGGATTTAGGTAATTTGCATTCAAAAGAACTATATTCCTTTATGTAGTAACTTAATATTCTTATATAAATTACACATGAGCCACAACTACCAAATATTAAACTTTATTTACAGGGACTGATACAATTAATCGACAAGCTGTTTTGTGTCATAGAGTACTTCGGACACTACAACAAATTGCGAGAGGTCACGCAAATTTAGAAAGAGAAACTTGGGAAAGTTTGTTATTATTTCTTATTGGAATTAATGATGCACTTTTAGCTCCTCCAGCAACAAGAGAAGATGCTGGAGAACAATTATGTGAAAGAGTTCTAGGTGTATTATTAGAGGTACAATATGTTTATGAATATATATTAATATTAAGTATACCCTCAATTACTGAATATAAGAAACATTTCTTTAGGTTTGGTTAGTAGCGTGTGAACGTAATTTCCCTTCTCCACCATTATGGCGTACTTTACGAGAATCTTGTCTTCGATGGAGACACAGATTGGCATTAGTAGAACAGTGGAATCGTGTTTGTCTTGCTCTTACTGCAAGACTTTTACAAATTATGTATGGTCCAATGTTTCCAGAATTAAAAATAAGTTAGTTATCTTGATAATTCATATTAATATTCATATTAACACTTTGTAATACATAACAATATATTTAGGCGAAGAAGATTCTCAGCTTGTACCACCTACAATGTCAGACGAGGCAGTGGCACAAGCATGGTACAGACTTTTACGAACTATAGGAGATCCAGTTGATTTATGTAGACCAGCTGTTGTGTCGCAAACACAAGCATTTTTACAGTACGCTATTGCAAGCCCGAACGTTATAGATCCTTGCCAGCATCCTTGCTTGCAAAGTTTACCACAAATATTTTTAAAAGCTATAAAAGGTATAGCAGGTCAAGTTGATGCTTTTCTTGGTAAGTAAATAATGTTACATAAATTGTGTATAATATTCTAATGTAGCAACATTATCAACGTTTTATAATCTGAAATTTATAAATATGCTGTAAATATAAGTTGTACTTTCTTCTACAAAAAGATGCAGACAATCTTGTTCTTAGTTTGTTTCTACTTTTAAAAGTAGCACATGTATTCTTCAGCTTGCTTTGTTGGTGATGGTTGCACGCAGTTACAAATGTTTTAGGAGTTTCACAGGCATGTTGCTGGGAAGAGTGTTGTGTATCCTCCATCACATCTGGATCTGCTAGCATTGGAAGTGGGGGTATAGGGTGGGACAAATCGAGTGGCAAAGATCTGACACAACCTTCTCCTACACCTCCGACACAACGCAGACTTGCCAAAAGTTTCAGTGTTACACCTTCTGCTGTAACTAAGGGTATTCAGCACCACTCTTCTGATCTTTCGTAATTGTACCACTGAGGTTCAGTGATGTTGTACATGAATTGTATATATTTCAACAATTATTTTTTTTAAGCTTCTCAATTTTCTTAAAACTTTTCTTTTCTCCTAGAAAAGTATTACAATTTAACATACAGTCTTAAAACAATATTTGAAGCATATATAGTGAATTTCACAATTCTTCCTGATTATAGGAATTCCAAAAGCCTCCTTGATTGGTTTAACAACGAGTCGTGTGTCAAGTACACCTCCTGTATTTGTATCTAATTCTGGACCTTCATCCGCTTCGAGTACAACGTGTAAGATTTTATGAATATTTATTTTATAAAATATCAACCCATTTATATTACAATATTATTTTCTTTGTAGCTATGACATCTTTAGTTCAAGATATTAGGCCTCCTTTAGCTCCAGGGCGTCCAAAATGCAACAGTATACTACACCTTTTCGGGGAGTGGTTATTTGAAGCTGCATTTATAGGCACTGATGGGTGGTCACAAAATTTACCGCGTAAGGGATAATTGGTATAAAATTAAATACATTGGAAGGGTGTATTTATTAATTTTGTTAATCCATAGAACCATCAGGTGCGACGAAACGTCCGTCTTCTGTACTTGTCGAGGGTCCCAGTTCATTACAAGAACCAGTTAACGATGTTCCACCAACACTTTGTATAGATCGTTATGAATCTGGGAGAGCAGAAGCTTTAGGCGCATTATGTAGAATATTCTGTGCTAAAAAAACTGGCGAAGAAATATTACCTGTATATTTAGCTAGATTTTATCAAGCAATGCATCATGGTCTCAAAGTTGATGAAGTAATAGCTTATTAACTGAATGTAGGTCTTATAAAAATGTACGCAATATTAATTTGTATATTTATTCGCAGTCTCGAGAATGCGGTGAAACGTTAGCAAGCATACTTTTAAATTCTGCAGATTTATTCCGTTTAGATTTAAATGGAGTACAAGTGTTAGTGCCTGCGGTGATATCGGCGTTAGAAACTGTACTTCCGGAAAAAGATTTAAAATTGAAATCTAATATAGTCTCAAAACCAGATCTACGAAGAGCTTCTATACATTTATTAATATCAATGTTGGCACTCCCTCTTCACTTTCAAGTAGCGTACAGATGTATTTATTTAGTTATTTTTATATACCATGTGTAGAATGACTTCTTATGGTTGATGCTTTTGTAGAATCTTACTATCAAGGAATTACCAATGTTCTCAAATGCATTGAATTCGGACAAGGGTCATATAACATTTGCACAATTAAAATCAAAACTTATGAATCTGCTTATAAATGCACTGCAAGTTGAAACTGATCCTCAAAATACTCATATGCTATTAGGTAAGTGAGAAATTCAATTTATTAAATTTTTTTGCAATTTAGTTGTCGATTTTTGTTTTAGGGGCTCTCTTATTAAGTGTACAAGATTCTGCAGCAGCAGAAGAAGTAGAACAAGTCACTCAACCTGACACAATTGCTCACGATTCTACTGTCAATTTATTATCGTCAGGTTTGTTGCCTTTTACAGTTCGAAAGACATTAGCTTGTATATATAAATAATGAATGCACCGTTTTAAATCTTTTGAAATTAATTGTCATTCGTATTCGAATTTGAGAAGTACTTATAAATAGCATAATTCCAGTAACAGTAACTGGAGTTAATGCTCCGTTGTTTAAAAATGACAGCTCATTAATATTTACGAATTGCTTGCAAACAGAAGTCTAGAAATACAGGCATACTTATGCGATGTAAGATCATGACGCTTATTACTTTTTTTATTGTATCTGCTTTATGCGTGCTTGTGTGAAATGACATTCGTTTTTATTATTATGAGTTGTGTTTTGTTGTGCATTCGCCATTGTACCGTCTCATCATCGCTTGATAGTCACCAGCGATTCAGCCAGTCAAATAAGTATATCCAGTGATCAACGATCGCTCGGCGAAGCATCTGATATTACAACTCTTCAAGAGGAATGTATTGCATTCGGTAAATACAAGTATTTTTTTCTAAATAGTTCAGCGTTCCATTATTGTGCACATATGAAGTACTGAGAAACATCATCTTATTTTATTCATTATCGTATTTCTGTTACAAATTTAAGCTTCTTTTGGACAGTTTTGTATACAGGCTTGCATTTTAAAAGACTTTCAATGCATACGAATATATAACATCTCAGAAATTAAATAGCTGTTTAAGATCATAACGACTGAAAATGTGGGATATTGTTACAGATTCAGCTCATGCTCTTTTCGTGCGCGCAACGTATTTGGTGTGTCACAGATTAATATCATCGTGGAAAACAGATCTGAATATTTCGTTAGCAGCTCTTGAAATACTATCTGGATTAGCAAGAACACGAATTCGTGAAACAGGTGAAACACATTTTGTCAGTATAATTTTATAAATTTCCAAAACTTACAATCTATAATATTCCAAATATTTTATTATACGCAGCAAGGAAACTTACAGGTTATACAGTATTTTGTTATGTAAATATACATCAAGTAGAACTGTATCATAAACAATTTGTCCGTGAATGTTTCAGATGCCCTGGAATGTAAACGTGCTGTGAAATGGCTTTGCGATTACATTGCGTATCAATGTTGGCGTCCTCCACCAGCCCATTCAAAAGATCTTCATTCTTCCATTGTTGCTGCTTTCAATTGTTTAACAATTTGGTTAACAGCTCATTCACAATTATTACAAGTTAATATTTCCTAACCTTAATCGTAGTAATTGTATTCTTTGCATGTACATGGTAATCATCTTTTTTAGGATAAGGATTGCTTGACAACAGTTTTAGAAGTAGTTGAACTTGGTGTATCAGGAACCAAAAGTGTAGGAAAGCCTGGAGAACCGATTAAAATGAAAGATGAAAAGGAACTAAAACCAGCGTCTATGCGTGTCAGAGACGCCGCCGATGCACTTCTTACTGTTATTCTTGAACAAGTACATTGAATTTTTGCTACCACTTAAATAATTCTATACCGTTGAAGATTGTAATCGTACAAGGATCGATAAGAGTCGTTTAAATAATTTATTCTGTATACAGGTTGGTTATTTCCCAAGCGCATGCGGGGCCCAGTCATTGTCATCTTTATTAGATGAAGTATCGCTTCTTCGACATTGCAACAGCTGGACCGGCGGTCGAGTACCTCGTCAAGCTGCAGTCGAAAGATTTCGATATTTTGTTGCTGAAAATGCTACCATATTGGCTTTATTAGAAGAGCCTCTTGGGAATGATCAAGATCCACAACCTACCGTAACCGTGTTAATACGCGGACCATTTGGCAGGCACGCATGGACAATGCAACTTCGACATTTACCAAGGCACAGATCAAGTATAAGAAGCATAAACACAAATCCTGGCCGACCACTGCCATTAGCAGAAGCTGCGCCAAGAACAGATTACAAACCGAAATTTTTTCCTGACAATGTTGATCGTATACCTCATTGTAAAGTGTACGTTATGTTTTCATATTCTTATATCGACATTTTGAAGAATAATTAGTTAATTGATTGAAAGCTAATCGAATTGATCGAATTCTGTTGACAGAGATGAATCTATACCAAGTCTTGAAGCGGTCATGAACGACAACAATGTAGTGAGAAACGAGCATCAAACTTTATCCCAATTATTAGAGCGTCAAATGAATATTGAATCGAAGTACTGCGACGGGAATGTTCAAACTTCCGAAGAAAAGACTGAAGAATGTGTACCGCCACAGATTTGTCATGAATTTCAAACCGCGCGTCTCTTTCTAAGTCATTTTGGTTTTCTAAATATGGAGCCTAAGGAAGACGACGAATCTAGGAATAATGGCCTTATTGCGCTAGATCCGACTATTCCAGGATTTTGTCTAGATTTAGAAACCTTAGATAATATTAGTCCAAGAATGTGCGATACGGTGTATATTTTTTATGTCAAAGCTGGTCAAAAAGCTCCAACAGATATATTATCTAACGTGGTATGAGTTGTATTCATTTTTTAATTTTTCATTGATTCGGATAAACATATTTGTGAACATAAGCAATCTTCTGGTTATAGTTACACGAAGCGCACGTATCACCAAACTTTTTGGAATTTTTAAACTCCCTTGGATGGCCGGTTTCTGTATCAGCGCATGCTGGCTGGACAGGTCATGTTTCCACATCGTGGAGAGTAACGCCGCAATTGAATGTACCACAACCAGCCCATAGCGATCACGGTGGAGCTCTTTATAATGGTGACACTCACGTACTTTATTGGGCCGACGTTAGTTCAGAAATTGCGTTTGTTGTGCCAACTCAGTCAAACAATATGTTAAATTCGGATTCGTTAGAAGAAGCAAGTTATTCTAGTGATATTAGCGCCAATCAAGGTATGACTTGAAACATAGCATTAATGGAAAATTACATTGATATATATATTTATACCATATATATAATAATAATACTAATTGCAGTTTGGTTTGAAAAAAGTATCAATGAAAATATCAACTGTAGAAATTATGGAACAGGCCAAAGTACTATGCAAAACACCCGAGCAATGTCACTTGATTTAGAAAAGCAACCTCCGAGTTTGACAGGATCTAGTCCTTCAAGTTCTTCTAGCGCAGATCCAGTAAAACCGAAAAGAAGTACCAAACAAGTTTTACCCGCGCAAACTGACATTAAAATTATGGTTGTTTGGCTGGAAAGTTTAGAGGACTATGCCCAATTTCCAATTGGTATATACACTTTACAGAAGATATTAATTTTTTATACAATTACAACAATTAAAATTAAGCAATTTATTGTACACGGCGTTTTCTACAGGTGATCTTCTTTCTTGTACTTATAACGGTCTTGAACAAACTAGAATAATACAACCATCGGATGTACAAGTAATTTTTCTTCAAGCTCTCAATAGTGGATTAATGAGAGTTAGGTTACAAGGTCCAGTTTCTAGAATCAATTTAGCTACCCCTTTAATTGATGGAATGGTAGTGTCCAGAAGGGTATTAGGAACACTTGTTAGACAAACAGCGTTAAATATGGGACGTAGAAAAAGACTCGACAACGATAGGTATGCAAGATCAAAATCTCGTGTTTAAGAATATTCATATATTTATCATTTCTAATATATTACAGTTATCATCCACCGCACGTACGCAGGCGCTTAAAGATTCAAGAGATGGTACAAAAATACAGAAAAAATTTAACTGATCCAGAATTATTAACACTACTATTTAGTAGCACCCAAACTTATCAAGTCTAATGAAATCAGTGTAAGTTAAATAAAATTTGCATTAAATCATATAAGTATGATTTAATATATAAATATATATAGTATAGAGTTCTATTTATGAATAATAAATAATTATCAGCATAATATTAGATTTAATATTTCCTCGAACTGTATATCCGTAATTGTAATAAAAACCTAGAAATTTAATTACTTTTTTAATAAAAAGTATAAACAATAAAATATTATTTTGTTATTGTATAATCATCAATAGCTACAATATGTTATACGTATTCTTTCTCTTTCTCTCCTCCTCCCTTCTTTCCTCCCTCACACTATATATATACACACATCAGTAGTTTTTCTTTTTATTTAAAATACTTCTTTACTATTTTATAGTTTCTTATACTTAATAATGAATCATTTTGAGTACAATGAGTGTTGAAATAAATTTGTAGATTCAAGGTAGTAATGTTACCTAGATACAAACAAGGTTACACAGAAAAAGGAAGAAACCGATTTAATAATGTATAATTATATCGTTACGTTATACTTCTCTTTTTTCTCTTTCTATCTTCCCTAGTAAGTTTATGTTTCTTCTAGCAATAGCGTTTCAATGCATTCATAATCTAATCATACAATAGGCAGATTATTTTTTGATTTGTCAAAAACCGTTCTTTCGGGCAGGTAAAGAATATTTCCAACAATGTTATAACAATCGTACAAAATTGTAAATGATTATTGCGACAATGTGAAAGATTCGTACAATTGCACTATTGCGAGGCACTTAAATAAAGCTGATAAATTTAAGTAAAAATGCTGAATAACAGCCGATAACAAGTTGCTCTAATATGACCACGCGAAATTGGTACTGAAAATAACAATATAAAAATAAAAGAATTATATAAGTATTTCAATGGCAATTTGCATAATCGTTAAAAAATAAATCGACGATAGTTCTTATTAATTTACATTTATTACACACACAACGAACGTTCGTGTCGTTTATCAATGTCACATTTTAGCTGTGTCATTCTGTTACGAATTGGATTGTAATACCTTCAATGAAGTACGTAACGCGACAATGTTGTACTATGTCTCTGTCGCGATAGATAAAAAAATAATGTCACCGCCTAGAATCGTTCTAGTTGATTGACTTTAATTAGGTCATCGATGTAATCGTAATTGCTTCGGACAAAATAAATTCATTTCCAAATAGAACATTTTTATTAAAATTACAAATCGATATTAAATTTTCTGCATAAAAAAATCGTAGATAATAACATTTATTTCACGTCTTATTATAACATGTACTCAACGTCCTCCTATAGTCGGCACACAACAGTTTACATGACTTTCATTTTACTTATCGTAGTATCTAACATCAATGCTATTTCCCGCAGTTTTTATTGTATCAGTTGAAGTAATTGATTGTGATAAGAAATATCTAATTTATATGATATAAATCATTAAGTATAACATAATACAAGACACTTGTCAATGTAATCCAGTGCAATGAGACTTTAAAGATATTCTCAAATTTATATTACTACAATCGAAGTATGTCAAATTTATATAGCAATGACGTTTTCTGATCTATTCACGCTGGATACGAAAGAGCTACCTCTATCTAATTTCCCGTTAATCAATTTGAAACATCTATGCCCTCGCTTCTTAAAAAGCGGACTGATATTCTGGAATTATGTGAATATAATAGCGTGACGCAAATGTCGTACAATTGGCCGAGTAAATAAACGAACACTAAGGTCGAACCGGCAAGAGTTCGAGCATGGATTTACCCTCTCCAGCATCCGAATCGTTGATCTATTGGTCCACCACTCCGCGTTTCTACCCATATTCCCCTACTGTCTTCATTTACACATCCTTATACTTAGACCATATTTGGCCTAAGGAAGACACAATGTTCAGCGTCCATAGTATCTCCTAAAATACGTTGTAACGTAAGATAAAATTTCATGTTGCGACATCTTCCGGTAATGTGCAGATCAACGTTTGCATGCGATGGGCTTCTTCTGCGCAAAGGGGGAATTGTTCATAGCCTTAGGTAGGGGTACCCCCACAATTTATACACTAACTCTCGCCGGCTCGACTTTATAATGTGAATCGGAATCAGTCGAACACAGTTTGAGTTTGCTGAAGAAAGTGAGTGGATGGGAAATAGTGTGTGGTGGTGCTGGTCACATGCCAATATACCGTGTACTTAACCGTGTGTTTGTTTAGTCGAATGTCCTACACAACTAGTCGCGACCGTTACTTAAATTTCAAAGCAGCCGACTTTTGTGTACTTAATTAATTATTCGAAACGGGACCGAGCAGGATACAAGTGGAACTAAAAAATAATAAATTGGCCAAGAAACGAATGCGGTAAATGAATCATTATGGAGAATCAAACTATGGATCAGTTTTGTGGTTCCAAATTCTGGGTGAGAATATTTCTATCTCGTTTCTGTCCCCGATGATTTTCGTCTTGCTTTTAAATGATTCTTTTAGCTAGGCAGTCGTGTTGTTCAATTAACCAATATACCCTTCAATATCACTGTCTCATTCCCATCGTTTCAGTGAGGACTGCAATGCATGCAGGCTGGCTTGCCAACAAAGAAAATAACTATTTTATATGTTACAAATTTCTAACATTGTAACAACGCGTGTTTGTAATGAAAGGGAAAGGGATTTAGAGGTGTGAATTAATACTTGTTTCTCTTTATTTTAGGATGATAAAATAGCATGGTATACAGAAGACCCGGACATCCCAGAATGTTTTCAAAAGACTGTATTGGTGTGGATACCATGTGCATTTTTGTGGGCTTTCTGTGGGTTAGAAGTTTACTATCTTATAAATAGCAAGAAGAAAAATATCCCATGCACATGGTTATATATTTCTAAACAAGTACTTGTAGTATTATTGATTTTACTTAGTATCATTGATTTAGGAACCGCTATACATAAAAATACTTCTGAACCTGTTTTTAATGTTGATTATTATACACCATGTGTGAAAATCATTTCTTTTGTAAGTATTATTTAAAGTGACTTTTTATATACTTAGAAAAACTTAATAACGTTTGTAACATTTCTTCTTTTGTTATAGATTCTAGCATTTATTTTAATGATGTATAATAAAAAACGTGGAATGCGGACCTCTGGACTATTATTTTTATTTTGGTTTCTTCTTGTAGTATGTGGAGTTGTTCAATATAGAAGCGTATTAAGGCTTATTAATAAGGTACATTAATTGTCTGTAAACTTACATTATATAAAATTTAATATTTTTTAAATTTTCTTTTAAATGTATTATAATGTGAAAATAATTTAATTCTCTTTTTCAGGAGGAAGTTACTTATTCATTTGTATCATACATGATATATTATCCAGTAATTGTAATTTTATTGTTGTTAAATTTTCTGGTCGATGCAGAACCCACATATTCTGAATATCCAAAGGTAAATTAATCTATATTATACTCGAAGGTCTTTCTATTCAAGCTTGTAAAAACTTTCTGTTGTTCCATGTTATTATATTATATCCTAAGTGAAGTATTGTGATTTAATGTTCCACATTAAATTTAATAGGAAGAAATGCCATGTCCAGAGCAAAGCTCTTCCTTTCCAGCTAAAATATTTTTCACATGGTTTGATCCAATGGCATGGAAAGGTTTTAGGAAACCTTTGGAAACTACAGACTTATGGTCTATGAATGCGGAAGACACAGCCAGAGAAATTGTACCGAAGTTTGATAAATACTGGAATAAAAGTACACAGAAAAGCGACAAGTGAGTATGAAATTCATAAATACTTTCTATTATTTATTAAACCAAAAAATAGTAATAGATATGGTAAAATGATTATGTATCAAATTACATTAGTAATAAAATATCAATCTACCTGTTTTGCTAACAAGAGTATTTTGGACTTGCTTTAGGTAAGTTAAAATAAACAGAGAAAAAGTAGTTAATTTTAGTTCATAATTAAATTAAACAATCGAAATGAAATATGTTATTATAACATTATTTTTATTTTAGTGTGCACAACACTAAAGCATCATTTAGAAAGTCTTCTGGACAAGTAGATTTCAATAGCGGACGTAAGAAGAAGGTGATATCAGTTTTACCACCTCTTTGTAAAGCTTTCGGTGCTACATTTTTATTTGGAGTGGTACTTAAATTTGTACAAGATATTATTACTTTTGTTAGTCCACAAATACTGAAGTAAGTATTACAATGAACTTTGGCATGGTCTTTTCTACTTTTATTAATTAGTTTGGTAATCCTGAAATTAGTAAAAATCATTAGAATTCTAACTATATAGATTATAATTGTTATTATTTTTAATTTAGACTACTCATTCGTTTTATCGAGGACCGTGACTCAATGTGGAAAGGCTACTTATTAGCAGTTATACTCCTAGTTACAGCCACATTTCAAACATTAATTTTATCTCAGTACTTTCACCGCATGTTCTTACTTGGATTACGTATACGTACTGCATTAATAGCTGCGATTTATCGAAAGGCGTTAAGAATGTCTAATGCTGCCAGAAAAGAATCCACAGTTGGTGAAATAGTAAATTTAATGTCTGTGGACGCACAGAGATTTATGGATTTAACAGCATATATAAATATGCTTTGGTCTGCGCCCCTACAAATTATTTTAGCCTTATATTTTTTATGGGAACAACTGGGACCGGCAGTACTCGCTGGTTTAGCTGTTCTACTTATTCTTATTCCAGTAAATATATTAATCACAAATAGAGTAAAGACATTACAAATCAGACAAATGCAAAGCAAAGACGAAAGAGTAAAATTAATGAACGAAGTTCTTAACGGTATAAAGGTATTAAAGTTGTATGCTTGGGAACCTTCGTTCGAAGAACAAATACTGAAGATACGTACGAAAGAAATAGAAGTATTAAAAGAAGCAGCATACCTCAATTCTGGAACAAGTTTTATCTGGTCCTTTGCTCCCTTTTTAGTAAGTTCCTTTTCGATTATTCAAACCTTATGAGAACGATATGAGAACTCAATATGAAAACGACATTTACTACTGTTTCCTGAAAATTTTTAGGTATCCTTAGTATCCTTTGCAACATATGTACTTATAGATGAAGAGAACCGTTTAAATAGCACTGTTGCTTTCGTTTCGCTTAGTCTTTTTAATATCTTAAGGTTTCCGTTGTCCGTATTACCTATGATGATTGGTAACATAGTTCAGGTAATTCAATATTTTTTCAAGATTTAATTATGTTGCTCATAATTGCGTGTTTAGTTATAAAATTAATATTACTTAGGCTTGGGTTTCTGTGAAACGTATTAACAAGTTTATGAACTCTGAAGAATTGGACCCTAATAATGTTCAACATGATCCATCCGAGCGTAAGTTTTAAATTGTTATTGTATTATTATAACTGCGTCACACTATTTATCATATTCATATTATACACGTGATTATATAGCACATGTACTATTAATTGAGAATGGTACTTTCACATGGGATGCGGAAAATATTGATAAACCAACATTAAGAAACATCAATGTAAAAGTAGATCAAGGACAATTGGTAGCTGTTGTTGGTACAGTGGGATCTGGTAAAAGTTCTCTTATATCAGCTCTTTTGGGAGAAATGGACAAAATAAGTGGCAAAGTTAATACAAAAGTAAATACTTCTATAATTTAATAACAAGACTATCCATTACAATAATCTATTTTATTATATGTAAACTTCTTTTTCTATGTAAAAGGGTTCCATCGCCTATGTGTCTCAGCAAGCGTGGATACAAAATGCATCATTACAAGACAATGTTTTATTCGGGAGACCACATCATAAAAACTCATATAATCGTGTAATCGAAGCATGTGCATTAAATCCAGATTTGAAGATATTACCTGCAGGTGATCAAACTGAGATCGGAGAAAAGGGTATAAATTTATCTGGTGGACAAAAACAAAGAGTGGCCTTAGCAAGAGCAGCATATAGTGATTCAGATGTTTATTTCTTGGATGATCCTTTAAGTGCGGTGGATGCACACGTCGGAAAACACATTTTTGAGAATGTAATCGGCAACACTGGTCTGCTAAAAAAAAAGACAAGAGTACTCGTCACGCATGGCATTACCTTTTTACCAGAAGTTGATAATATAATTGTTCTCAAAGACGGCGAAATAACGGAAGTTGGAAGTTATAAACAACTTTTAGAGAAAAAGGGAGCTTTCTCTGAATTTTTAGTGCAACATCTTCAAGAAGGTATAGATCAATTCTTCTATTCGTTAATTTCCTTAATTATTTTCTCTATTAATCTTCAATTATATTTTTCATGGTTCTAAGTTGGAAATCGTAAGTCAGTGAAAAAAGTAATTACGATTCCTTTCCCTACTTTCGATTTTTGTGATTGCCCAGAAAATGGTTTATATCACATTTGGCTTGTGTTTATCGAAATATCGAAGATAGTAATACTATCTCGGATTTTGCTATTATAAATTCTCACGAGCCGATTTGTGTTACGAAACCACTTTTTGTGCAATTTGTTAATTCCACTTAGTACAGTATGATATGCATGTAAGATATTTTTTTGCATAACGCATGCTGAACTACAACCGGAGTGCTGTTAAAACATTTGTTGAATCAATATAATTTGTTTAACTTCTCTATAACTTGTGTTTAAAGTATTTCCATTAACGTTTCTTATTTACGAAATGAATTTAAACATTTTTAATACAGAGTAATAGTGTATTTTCTTGTTACGACATTTTAATACTAGAAAATCGTTATGTTTTAATGCTAATATATTGCTTTAATACGACATATTATTTTATATCTATTATGATAAATTTGGAACAGTGCATGCTGATGATGACTCAGAAGGAGATTTAAATGAAATTAAGCAACAACTGGAATCAACAATAGGGTCAGATGAGTTACAACAGAAATTAACGAGAGCCAGATTAAGAGTGTCAGAGAGTCAAAGTGAATCTGGTTCTCTTGCTGATAGAAGATCTTTAAGTGGCTCGTTAAAAAAGTAAATTCCTTTCATTATTATTCCAATTTTTATATTCTGTTTTTATTTTAACATAAAATTTGTTTATAAATTTTTAGACAGCACTCTATAGATAGTCAACAATCGGATAGTTACATTCGTAGCAACAGTATAAATAATAAATTAACACAACCAAAGGATAAGTTAATAGAAGTGGAAAGAACTGAAACTGGAAGTGTAAGTTATTTTATTTATTTATTTCTTCAAGAAATTGTTAAAAGAAATATATTTATACATTATTTTTTTAAATAAGGTTAAATGGCAAGTGTATTCTCATTATTTCAAATCAATTGGATGGTTCTTATCAATAGCGACTATTATAATGAATGCAATTTACCAAGGATTCAGTATTGGTTCAAATTCTTGGTTGAGTGTGTGGTCTAATGACAATTTAACAGACTACAATAATACATTCAACAGAGCAAAACAAGATATGTATCTTGGAGTATATGGCGGACTTGGACTTGGTCAGGGTATGTTTCATAAAATGTATGGTTATTATATGATACTTAGCATATTCTCTTCACCAAAATCAATTACATTGGTTTCTTAAAACAACGCTATTGTAAGTTTAGTAAGGTAAGCTTATGAAGCTTTTACGGTAACGTAAAAGTTATCCAAAGAAAAGCATGTTCCTTCACAGATTACATGGTTTTGGGGTAATTTAATTTCTTTGATTAATTTTGAACAACGATTACGAGTTTAAATAAGCACATGTTTCGTTATGTTGTTACATATTGAATTCTCGAAATATTTTTTATTTTTAAAATTATTTTATACATTAGCCAATACTATATAACATTAACAAAATCTCAACGATATTTTAAAATGTTAGTGTGAGTGTGGTTTGCTGTGCCTATAGAACATTCATACTCACAATGAAGCTTTTGTAGTAATTAAATGTCTAAATGCAACTATTTAAATTTCTTTCATATTTAAAAATACATGATT